TTTTATCCAACAAAAATCTTACTGGTTTTGCTAAAACGTACCCTAACGAACACTTAACTCAGATTAAGTGACGACAGAACCCCTCTCCTCAGTTGCTCTCTGCTTTTGCGATGCCTGCATCTTAGCGAAATTGTTGCAACTGAAGTATGGTTACCGTAACATTTCATCCCCCATTAAAAGAGAAGGATAAGAAAAGAAAAGAAAAGAAAAGAAAGAAAACATAAGGATTATCACTATCTCAATCAGGCTGAGGTAAATAGGCCAAATTGCGAGTCTTTTCAATCCGTTTCCTTCATATCATGAGTCGATTACCTAATGAATTTAAAGCGTGGCCTCACCTTCAACAAAAAAGCTTTGCAGTCTTGGTGTCCTTCCCCAGAACACTGACTGCTGAACACATGTACTCCCCAGAGTCATTGAAATTCGACTTTGTAACCTCAAGGCGGCCATTTTGGTTGGTTTTGACTCGTTCGCCAGCAAGTAAGCCTCTGAGTTTGCTCCAGGTCACGACAGGTGTTGGGTGTCCTCTGGTCGAGCAATAGAATCTAGCAGTCTGGTTCTCAGTTACTGTTTTAGTCTCAGGTGATATGGTCACCTCTGGCAAGGAGGCGCTTTCCCCTGGTTCTCATTGCTGTCCTGTCATTCCACGGGGGCCAGACGCGCCTGTAAGTTGAAAATTTGAAAGACGAAACAAAAAACAAAAAATCGATAAATCTTAATTGCTTTTTTTTTCTCTTCTTTATGAACGGGAAGCAAAAATAATGTTAATTGATAGAGAAATGGGCTCGCTTACCTTTTTCACCTTTTTCTCCTCCCAGTCCTTTATCTCCCCTGATGCCTTGCTTGCCGTGTTTTCCAGGTAAGCCCATTATACCTTGCTCACTACTCTTTCCCTTCTGTCCTTGCGCTCCTCGTCTTCTACGGGGACCTCGGCTCCCTTTCTTACCAGGAGGAGCTGGGACGCAGACTCTCCCTGACGGCTGACAAAAAAATGCTGGCTGCATTTGACTGATCATGATTTGCTTATCGATCTCACTTCGCACGTCCTCTATTGTCCGAGATTTGTTACTGTCTGGTGTCGAACTGAGGCGTTTTGCTGCTTGTTATGTCGAAAACTACCGGTAAATACGTTAAATACGTTAATACTGAGGATGAATACAACTACATATCATTGCTGCAAACTGCCACAATCCACTTTCAATCATTTTAACTATTAAGTTATAATTTGTTTAGACTGGGAGCAAGAGACTGTTTTGCAGTTTTTATTATTTTTTTATTTATTTATTTATTTTTTTTTTACGGAGTTTATCCAAGAATTAAGGAAAACAAGGAAAATAAGAGCTTGGTTTTTTGGGGTTGCCGTAAACGTTATTCTCAAACTCTCTAATTTAGGATTAGGAAATGTAAGTCGGACTTCTTATGGATGCAAAAATTTGTTTATCTTTTTTCATTCTCGGGCAGAGATTGATAAAAAAGAGATGATTCCTAAGTTGTTGATTGTTTATTGTCTTGGTACGGTAACATGAACACAAAATGCTCATATATTAGTCACCATGAGTTGAGATTAGTTTGTTTTCTCTTTGTTTTGTTTTGTTTTTTCTTTGTTTTGTTTTTTAACAAACAAAAAAAATTGTTAATTCTTAGCAATTAAAATACAATCCCTACCCGCAAAATAGCGAAGCTAATCGAGGCGGGAGGGAAACAAACATTAAAATAAATTATTAAAATAACAAGTTTGACTGAACTGAGGAGATGACTTGGAGAGCATGTGCACTTAGACGGGAACAAAGAAAATCAGTACGATAGCTTATTTTTTTTTTTTTTTTTTTTTTTTTTTTTATGGAGTTAATCTAAGAATTAAGGAAAACAAGGAAAATAAGAGCTTGGTTTTTTGGGGTTGCCGTAGACGTTATTCTCAAACTCTCTAATTTAGGATTAAGAAATCTAAGTCGGACTTCCTTCTTATGGATACAAAAATTTGTTTATCCTTTTTCATTCTCGGGCAGAGATTAATAAAAAAGAGATGATTTCTAAGTTGTTGATTGTTTATTGTCTTGGTACGGTAACTCGAACACAAAATGTTCATATATTAGTCGCCATGAGTTAAGATTTGTTTGTTTTCTGTTTCCTTTGTTTTGTTTTGTTTTTTGTTTTGTTTTGTTTTTTAACAAACAACAAAATTTGTTAATTCTTAGCAATTAAAATACAATAATACAATCCCTACCCGCAAAATAGCGAGGCTAATCGAGGCAGGAGGGAAACAAACATTAAAATAAATTCTTCAATAACAAGTTTGACTGAACAGAGGAGATGACTTGGAGAGCATGCGCACCTAAACACGAACAAAGAAAAACAGTACGATAGGTTATAGATAAGCCAATTTGTTGTTGCAACATACAACCGGAATAAAATCACACGCGATAAAAAAAAACAAACAAACAAACAAACAGACAAAAAAAAACAAAAACAAAAACAAAAACAAACAAAAACAAAAACACAAGCATAATTAGCTAAAAAGATTATAATTATTTAATTTTATCAATTAAAGGATGGACGTCAACATAAGTATCCTCTCGCATCAAAGTGTTTAACATCTGTCTAAACAATACTCTTTTAGTTTATACTTAGGTATAGAACGAAGAAAGGTAGGAATAATATTCTAGATACTTACACCCAGTCTCAAAAAAGAATTTTTCACATGGTCTGTTCTCGAATGCTTAAGATAAAGATTGCCAGCCGCTGAGGACTTTGCATAATATTAGTGGTTTTTTTCTGACGAATAACTAAATAACTTTGAAATTTTAGCCGGAGGTGTTAGATTGTTTTGAAATTGATAAGATGAACAGGAAGAATGTTAGGCATGTTAAACAAATATAGCATGAAATCTAAAGAAGAGGAGGATTCAGGATTCAAGGGAGAGCATGGTGTGAGGATTGGTATTTTGCAAATGAATGGATATGATAATTTGTGCTTCATTTAAATGGGGATTTATGGAAATGTGAAAATACCCCTCTGCAGTCCGCGTATCAATGGGCGTTCCCTGAGATGTTTAAAACTGAAGAGGAAATATTTTCTCAATTGCATTTTATAATAGTGACATGTCGTCGCCGCTGAAACGTCATGTTTTAATTAATAGCTCTGCTTTTGATCCTTAAATGTTTTTTTTTTTCAAAATCTTTCCTTCTACCGTGGCAAATTTATATTACTTTTTATACGGGTGGAAATTTCATATCTGCATATCACCTGCTTGCGGTCTTACGCGTCTGGTGTAAGATTATGATTCCACTGTACAGCAAATATTGAACTATTCATCTCGCCAAATTAATGCATGAAGCTTCTTTGTTAACGAAAGCCTATCGTGACCTTAATTAGATCAATACTTTAAGTTCAAACATGTGGAGCTCGATCATGAATTAACGCCAGGTCTGAGGGCGGCTAAATCAATTAAGTAATTCTAAATTTTGTCTCGCTAGGAACAGACCCTTAATTAAGGACTATGGTAAAATTATGTTCGTGCTAAAGATTAGCTATGTCTATTTTCCTTCGATATAATTAAGCAGGTTTTTGCTTACCTGTTGACGTTTTGGTCTTATCCCCGACGTTTTCATTTCCTTTATTCGTCAAAGCGTACAACTTCATGTGACTTTCAACTGCTGAGATGCGAAGTTCGTTCATCTCCGTTTCCCTGTTCATTATTTCCATCCTTAACAACAGCGCGATAAGCAGTAGAACTGAAATAAAAGAAACAACCGAAGAGTCTTTGCGTAAAGCATCGCTTGAGCATTTTGCGGGAGGTTTCTTTGTCGGGTCCATCCATCAGCTTCAAGGGAATTCGAGGGAACAGTTTTCCTGATTAATAAACTCAATCGCTGCAAGACACGACGCATATACTTGTGCTGAAGGTTCAGGCTTCCTGTGTAACTGATATCATAAAGAACACGCCCAGGCAAGATGTAAAGTAAACCGTTACTGATTCTTCTGTCACGCGTCACGAGGGTAAGAGTCCAGAGGGCTGACCCGACTCCACAATGAAACCGG